GTTTTAAAACGTTTGCCATCCCTAATTGCTCTCTGTGTATATTCTCAACTCTAAAGCTAACCTTGCTCTAACCTTAAACTAATTTATACATTATATGAAGATTATAAATCAATTAATTAATATACTGGCGATTATAAGTAATGCAACAAAAAAAATTTTTATTTAGATCGCATTATTTCCTGCAATTTTGCATGTATCCTTTTATTTATTTTTTATTTTACTCATAAATGGTACTTTTTTGCAATATTAAAATTTTAATATTCATTATTATTGCCAATATAAAGATAAGCAAGCATGTAGCACAAATCACATGTTGTATTACTTTTAATCGTTTTTTACAACAATCAGATGATGGCCATTGTATGACGAAAGATCACGTGACTGGAAAATTTATTCTTGATTTTGCATTCTTGTGTTATAATAGAACTTAAATAACATTCTAGCAAAAAAAAAATACGTATGATTTATAACTCAAAAGAGCCCTAGTTTTTTCATTGCTGCAAAACCAGTATACTACAAGGGTAGTAAGCTAGACATGAAATTTTAGTTTCTTCCTGGCTCTTTACACCAATAAAAGTGGTGGAGCTATTGTGTTTGCAAAAAATTAGCAAAGATTTGTCATTTACCTGTCAGCAGTAAGCCAACCCAAGCGACGATTTTAAATTGAGCAACCTACTTTTGCTCTATAATTATCATCAAAGTATGGTTTTATCAAAAAAATAAGCAGTATTTAATAATTTGATTGGTTTTTTCTTTTTTTGCATATAGAACCTATGGTTTGGTACTAGGAATTAAACAAAAAAAGCTTTACTTGTATGAATGTCGACAAAAACATTGGCTTGAATTTGTAAAAATTGGTCTACCAAGTACTGGTCTAGGTAATTTTGTCTAACAAGCTAAAATTTAAAATTTTTTGAGTTGGATAGTAAATAATACTATAAAAACAACTTAAAAAATTATTAATTTGCTTTTAATATTAAAGATTCAAGACAGGTTTGTAAAGGTATAATGCTATATTAAATTTTTGTGGCATTAATAACCTTTACAAATTTGACTAAGTAATGAATATTGAATTATACTAATATATTTTATATTAATATTTTATATATAACATCATAAATTATAAATTTGCTATTTAAAAAAATATTTCTGTAGAAAGATAATGAGGTTAAATATAGTACAATAGTTCTAAAACATTAGCTTAGAAATAGTTAGATAAAGATTTTGATTAATATCTCTGCCTTCTAAACTTAAACATTTAAAAATTTTGTAGATTAGAGTTTTACCATTGGCTTGGAAATGTTTTGGGCAAATTTTAGATGAAAAAAATCGTTAGAGCAAGATCTAGGTGGCCTAGATGAAAATCAAAATAATAACCTAAATCGTCCAATCCATCCCAAGGCCCAGAACAAGTTTGTGAGCAATCAAGGCACAAGGTGAATATACTATGTTGTAGTGGTCATGAAATATTAAAATAGAAAAAAAAATTTTTTTTTATATATGAAAAAAAAATTTTTTGTTTTATGTTCGTGTTGTGTTAAAAACAAGCAAAAGTAATGCAATACATAATTTTAAATAAAGCTCATACTCATAAAAAATCTACTTTATTAATATATTCTAAGATTTTTTATGTAAATAATATACTATTTACAAATAAAATAAAATAAAAATAAAAGAATACACACAGAATTGCAGGAAATAATGTGATCTAAGTAAAAATTTTTTTTTGTTGCATTATTTATGATCGCCAGTGTACCCGTATATAAACACTATGGTAAAACTAATAAATTTTCTAATTAAATATATATAATTTTATTTAAGATTGAATAAAGATACTGTATCTTTAGTTAATTTTATTGTTAAATTTTATTTTAATAATGAAGAGAATGAATCTAATTGCATTATTATTTCAATATTTCATAATTAATAAAAATGAAAATCAAGTTTACTATATTTTTGCGAAATAATATGATATTAAATTTGCCTTCATTAAAGTTTCAAAATCAAGATAATAATGATGTTATAAATATTTTAGATCCTGTTATGTAATATTTATAAAATATTAGTTTCCAATTTTAGGGTTAAATAAATAATTAAATTAAAACTTTTAACATTCCATTATTATTTGAATTATTAATATTTGAAGTTTCAAAATATTTTATTAAAAAAAAAGTTGAATTAAATGTCTAGTATTCTATTATATGTCTAATATTTTATTATTATTTGTATTATTAATATTTGAATAAATAAGCAAAACCAGTAAAAGTAATTATTAAATTCTTCATTAGTAAAACAAGCATTTGAAAATTTCATGTATTATTCTTACAAAGAATAAATTCTATAATTTGCAATGCATAAAATAAGAGATTGACAAAAATAATTATATACATTTAAATAAATTTGTAATCGTGCAAATTATGAACTTAAAATTACACAAAATATTAAAAGCTAGAATTGAAGTATATTTGTTCAAATCTATTTACTCCAGTTCACAAAGTCTTCAATAAAAACTAGAAAAAGATCTGAAGCTAGAATCAAGCATGCAAGACACTATATCCAGTAACTTATAAAATTGCTATAACCATATAAAGAAAGTTCTTTTTAAAAAATTAAATAAAAGCATCTGAGAGGTAATCTATTTATATTTGCGGTTTGCAATTTGCAAAAGAAAGACAAGAATTTTAGCATGTATGTATATGTTAATTTATATTGTAGTAAAATATAAATCAATACAAATATACACTCAATAGATTATAAGTACCAAGAGGTCCCATGGTGGTGCATTCCAGATTTCAGAGCTCTGATTTCTGTTTCTGTCCATTTTTGTCATCATTGTTATTGTTTCATACTATAATATAAATATTTTCAATATATATATAGCAATAGAGTCATAATAAATTTTTTGAATAACTTACAAATCATATATTTAGCAATCCATATAAATATTCAACAAGTTTAAAAATCCTTACATTTAGTACAAGTTCTGATGATGGTCTTTTCCTGATTTAATAATACCACAATATAAAAAATTCTTTTGAGTTATTTTGAAGCACAATAAAATTTTATTGTTTACCTCCTATTTAAAATCACTGCTATACAAATTTTTATCTAACGGAATTTCAATATTAACCACTCTAAAAAGATGATCATCTTTTGTTTGATTATCTAAAGTTTATTTGTAGATGGTTTTCTTGTAAAAGCCTGGGCTGTAACTCATTTTACAGAGTAGGTTTCTGAATTGTCGTCCCACTGGATGTAAGAGGTGAAAAAGGAACTGATTTAGTTTTTTCTCAAAGTCTGCTACAATTAATAAATCTAAAGAAAAACTTATTGTTACCTTCTAAGTATAACTCATTTTCTGTGAATAATTCTTGACCTTTAGTCAGTAAATATTTTTTCCAATTCACTAAAAAAATTTTTATGCAATTTTTTATAATGACACCCATTGTAGACGTTTATTGGTAGATCACTATCCCAATAGCAAAGTTTTTGCGAACTAGAGGAAATGTATTTAAGGTTACAAGTGCCGAAACAGCTATGTATTCTTTATAAATGTTAGTTAAAAAACTACCGAAATGTTCTATGCTGCATATTCAAATTTGTGTATTCTTTTACATACCTTTTTTAGATCTTTAATATAAATGTTTGCTTTGATTATTATTGTGATTCAATTGTTAGCTTTTTGATAAGGTTTCCACATCTTTTTTTTGTATTTCATTCAATGATGTCTTCGGTAATTTGTGTTAAGGTCCTCATCATATAATTGTAGTGAGTTTTGTAAGATCATTTTAAAAACATTTTTATGAAAAAATACTTCATCGTTTGAGCCACCCTTCTAAAGCCATTAGGTGTATAATTATGATCTTTTTTTTTTCTTTTTTGAGTCCTTCATTATTCGTTTTTTAAATTTATAAGATTGGTTTTAATAAAAGCAAACTTATAAATTTTATAATTATCTTTAAGCATATTATATGATTATGCTAGATGATAATTCGACTAAAATTTCATTTGGGAGGGTAAAATCTTTCTATTATATCTAATAAAAATTCATGTTTCAGATGAAGTTTTTCTACGCTTCTTATTTTTTTTTGTAATTTCTCATATTTACTCATTTATTATAGGATTAGATTGTTTATTTTGGAATAATATAATAATTTTATCTATATCGCTTGTCACTACAATTGTTAATAAATCTAAAATAAGCCTAATAAGAGCCCGGTAAAGAAGAAAGCAAGAAGAAAATGTTGGCAACAAATAAACAAAAGAGAAAAAAAAAAAGAATAAGATGTGGCTTCGTTATGATGTGGTGAAGTTTAATTCAATTTATGTAATACTGTTATCATTGATATACTAGAACAGTACGTAGTCTACAGTAGGACCCTAGTTACCAGTCTAATAATTTTACTAAAAAGATTTCGCTGTTAGAACCAGGATATTCGATTAAAATTAGAAGAATTCCATTTAACATTATCCTTTATATGGTAAACTAATGAGATCAGCTCCCATATTTATTCGAGAATAAAGAAATAATCTGGAAATACAAATGATGAATTAACCTAACTCGAATTTCGATTCAGCTTTAAAACCAAATCCATTCTAATCATTCTGATATTATTTATACAGTATAAGAATATCGCAAATGGAATTCTAAGCTTTAATTTGAGAAAAGATACGTTAAAGTTTTTATTATACAAAAATAAAATGATGGATTTAAATTTTATATGCATAGTTTAATCAAAGAAAAAACATGATATAAAAATAAGGTTAATTTTTATGTATTTCATTCAAATAATTTCAGTAAGAATACACAATATGGTAAAGTTTTTTTTTAATTGGAAATAAAATGAAAATATCTAATAAATCTCTAATAAAATATCTAAATATTATTAAAAACCATCAGCCAAAATTTTACTACAAACATTTTTTTAATTCATATTTTGAATATGTACAATATAAAGTGGTATAATTTCTAAAGAATTATTTACTTCATTTGTGAAAGTCTACCCGGAAGGGTTAAATCCGCAAACGGCCCAGCCAATAACCGGAGATACAACTACATCATCGTCAGAATCATATTCTTGTCGAGCACCAACAAAACCGGAAACAAGTTTTAAACAAAAACCAGAAGTTGTAACAAAAGGCAAAGCAATTCTTCCATCAGGTAAATCAGAAGTTCGAATATAATTTCCTTCTAAAGGTTTACCATCACGTCCATATGGGAAAAATGAAGAAATCCAACCCATCAGTTTAGGATCATCTGAATTAAAATTTAATTCAGTTGCAATAGAATTCCAAAAGGTTTTATCGATTTCACCACGATAAGTAGCAACAAATTGCCAAATAACAGGATCAAGACGGTCAAGCCAAAAGTCTAAGTCGAAATTAATTTTTCTTAATTGGATAACTTTTTCTTGAAGTTTATTCCAGTCTTCTAAAGAACCATCCAAAGTAATTTTTGAAATTCCATATTTCGTAGAATTTGTATAATTTGAGAAAGGTTTAACTACATCTAATAGAACAACACCACTCGCTATCTCTGAAGTAGTTGTACTAGTAGAGAAATCACATTTTAATAAAGCTTTCATATCGAATTTTCCAACTTGCTCATCTGTTGCAGCTATGATACGTCTGAATAGTTCTGGCCAATCACCAGTGATTGAAGAATCATTTGAATCAATAATATCATCAGCAGATATTCGAACTTCCTTTTGTCCTTCGTGTTTTACTAAACGATAACGGTATTTCTCAGAATGAAGATTGATGTGTTTACTGACACCTTGGACAATAGTTAACCAAATATCGTCAGGAGAAATTCGTAAATGTTGATTAGAAGAATAAGCTATATCAATAATAGAAAAAAGAATAATGGAATTATAGAATTATAATTAGTAATACGATAATATAATAATATTAATAAATATACTAATATAATAAAATATTACTAAAAGTTTAATTAACAAACCTTGAAGGATTGCAGCAACCAAACCATGTGTACATCTTGGATTTCCTAGGACGTCTGATTTGCATTCTTTTTCATAATCGGTCCATACAGCATGTAAAGTTTCCCCACCGAAATCTTTTGCAAATCGGGATTTTACGGATATATGATCAAGTATATGATTTTGGGGTTCGCCATTTGAAATAATTTGAGTACTAAACTTTTGATGTCTAATAGAAGGCATTTTTAGAGATAATTTTGCGCAAATTCTGTAAATTCTTTTTGTCGATTAAAAAAAAAAAATGTTGATTTTTTATATCAAAAACCGAAAATTCACACAATAGGAAAACCTAAAAAAAGATCAACGATTTCTTTGTTCGGCTGTTAATGTACCAACCCAAAACTAACAATGAAAAAAATTTTTTTTTTTTTAAATCGAGCTTTGTACCTCAATGATGTACTATGCATATTTTATATAGCATACAGGCATAATCTTTGTGATGCAAAAGATCAAACTCGGAGTTCTCCCTTCTTTACTTTTTGATCTTCATTCAGGTCCTATAATGGATTTTTTGAATTTTTTTATTACTAAATTCACATGAACATGCAGCATATAAACGGTATAATCCATACAACGTACATGAAAACGGTTAAAAGGGTCTTTAATATACAATGAATTTATTTATAAGGAATATGTATCAATAAGCATTACATTTGATTGTGCTCGTTATGGACTTTTTAGTTAATATAAAAAAAATAATTTAATCAAAAAAAGCCATTAATACAAAGATTAATTTCTACAGATCAACTCCTTGACTTCCTTTCCTGAGATTTTTAATTAAATAGCACAATAACTAAAAACATAAAACGTGTGTACCTTCTTAACTCAGGTATATATATATATGGTATATATCAATGTTGGCTTTTGATGCTCCCAGTCCATTGCTCCGGTTCTCTGCTGGGAATTTTTTATTATTAAACTTTACCAATTATGTTTAGCGCCATAATTTAAATATCAGATTATATAATTTTAATCAGATTATATAATTATCTATATAATTATATATTTAAACCAAAAAAAAGCCCTTTTTTTTATATGCAATATAAACTAAAAAATGATCCGTGCAAAATCTGCTTCATTTGCCAACAATGTATATAAAATTACAATGAATATATAATTGGTATATCATTATATAATGAATTTAAAGAATTTGAGATCAAAGACCTAAAATGAATCATCTCATACCTAATACCACAGTATATTATATTATCTGTGACAAATTATTGTGTCAAAATACGTAATATTAATTAACTAGATCGTTTAGTAGATGGTCTATGGTTGACTACAAGAAGCACGTGCCTTCTGTCCAATAAAATTAAGCATATGAGAATATCAAATTATACTACTGTATATAAACTTATGATAGCTAAAAGTACTGAAAATAAATTAAAGGTTTCTCAACGACGCTATATAAGAAACAGCCTATCCCTGCAGTATGGGATGTAACAGCTGGGTCCCTTTAGGAGCCAGGAAAGTAGTGGAGCATCTCACCCGCAAAGGATAAGTTGTAATACCACCGCTGATTTGGTAATACAGTACTTAAGTTCTTTTTATCAATAAATACTATATGATTAAATTCTTGATAATAAAAATTCTTTTTATTAATCATCTTTGTTACTGTAAAACTTATAATCTAAAATATTATATATATCATAATAAAAAAAAAACTTTGACTGCAAGTGTGTGTCAGTACACGTAATATTAAAACATAATGCCAATGTCCGTGTCTGGCACTATATTTTAATAGGGCCAAGCCGGCACTTGCAGAGCCCTATTTGTTACAGTTACTTACTGTATAGTATTGCACTATTTTAAAACTAACTCAGTCAATATTTCCACTGGTTAAACACTGATATAATAGATTGAATACGTCAAATACGTTAAATTTTGACTCTAAGACAGGTTTAGTACCTAGTTTTCAAAATCCGTATATTATACTATATATATATATATATAGTATATAGTTTAAAAGTTTATTTATCAGCGGTTTCATTATGGAGACTATTTTGATTGATTTAATAAGAATAAAAATTATCCGGCACTTTACATAATCGAGGTTTAAAATTAACAAATAAGTGGCGCATTTCAAAAATAAGTACGTATATAGGATTTTTTTCAATATGTACGTACGTACGTACGTATGTTGAATTATAAATCGGAAAATAAATTAAGATTCTCTGATTTTAATTTTGAAGTCCAATATACCTAATTTAGGTTATTTTACAGTATTCGTATACGTAGTGGGTGGATGGGTACAAAGATCATTTATTAATCGATGCACATATACAGTATTCGGTAAATCTATAAAGATAACTCTGAATCATCATAGTTTAGGAAATAATGTAAGCATAGTAATGTGACACAATGATTTTATAAAATTCTAATACTATGTCTCGTGCCATTCTAAACTGTAACGGTAACTGAGAAGTCTTACAGAATTCACTCCATAAAATCTGAAGATTATGGTTGGAGTCTTAATCATCTGCTGTAATCTGAATTACCTGCGATGAGCTTGATTTAATTTAAGTAAATGTGACATGGAACTTTATTATTAATTTTATTAATGTGACAAAATCCATGTGAGAAATTCGTTTGGTACCAATGACAAATAGACAAACACATAACTTCAAAATATTAGTATACAGTAGATAATATTTGTGAAGTTTTTTTTTTTTTTTTGAGATATTTAGCTTTTGCTAGAATTTGGATTTGGGCGTGAGCAAACCTAGATAATAGTAGATTATGATTTTGATTGACCATAAAGGAGTATAGAAAAAAAAAACAACCAGCATTCAGGCCCAAGTTTAGCCCACAAACCTGCATGTTTAATCTGGCCCATTCAGAACTCTAATACGTTCGTACGAACACTGTAAAGGTTAGACCGACCTTCCAAACCAAGATTTGAATAAAGCCTCTTTACATTTGCCCGCGTCATATTTGAAAAGGAATATTAAGTTACATCAGATCAGTTTATAATTTATGCATAATATTAAAATTGAAATATTATATTCAAAATCCTCGATAACGCTTTGTTTCTCTGAATGGAGAAATTAGGTCGCTGAAAAGCGAGGTAGGGATAACAGTAAGTCCCTGCGTATTTCTACATGTGTGTTGCGAAAAGTAACTCCCGTTAATACGGTAGGTATGTAGGTAGCAAGGATCGATTCCCACAGAACCTGGAAGCTAATGCTCAGCTGAGAAAGTCGGATCAACTTCCTCGGGGCTCTGTACCGGCATGTGCCGGCATTGCGGGAGTGGAAAGGGCCTAGCGTACTGTATAGAAACTACGTAGCCGAAAGGTAGGGGGCGAAATCCTCCGCATACGTAGACGAAAACCTTTAAGGTATGCGATGGTCTGTGGATTTCAGGCCAATCCTTGTCAGCTACCGAGTTCCGTTGAAGTAGCTCGTAGCTCCCATATGTGGATTGACTACGTATGCTATATGCAAGTTAGAAGCATACCGCTTCGCTTTTGTCTTCGGATCGGGCAAACTCCTGAACCTAACGAAGGGAGCATGCAGGCCTCTAGTGATAGTGTTGGGCCTGGCGGATTGGTATGGGGACCCATATAGCGGGTAATGCGTGGAAGCCTTAGCGAACACCCCAATAGTGATTTAAGCCGTAAGGTTTTAGTCGGCTGGCTAAGTCAGCCGAGGCTAATCGGCTGGCTAGCGGCTGACAAATAACATACTTCCGGAAAATTTCGGTAAACTTTCCAAAAATTTAGCTTGTATTTTATGTTCATCCATTTTCCTTTTCGGAATTCTACTATATACTAAATCATATGCTCTTTAGCCGCATTAGCCAGCCGATCATATTACATTGGACACCCCAATGCACAGCAACACCAGCGTCACCAGTAATCGAGGTATCAGTCACATGGTTCCCGACCCTAAATTTTCGGAAATCCTTCAAATTTTGTTTTTCAGGGTGCTTTTTTTTTCTTTTTTTTTGAGCTTCTGAATTTTTGGAAGAGATATTTCTCTTCCAAAAATTCCGAAGTTTTTAAAAAAATAAATAAAAATAAAAATAAAAGCCCGAAAAAAAATTTTGAAAGATTTACGAAATTTTTAGGATCAGAAATCATGTGACTGCTACCTCGATTATGGCGTTGCTCCAATGCACTGTGTGGCAAAGCACAGTGTAAGGACTGCTCCAATTTGATTGAGTCAGCAACCGGAGTGGTTGCAAATTTGCCACAATAGAGATAACCAATCCTGTTTAGATGACAGATAGTGCAGCTACTGTGGGAGACTGTGAACAAGTTGACGCACTCTTGGCCACTAGCAAGAAGCTAGTCAGCTAATACATAGAGGTTTAAGGTAGGTTTAAGGTAATAATGGTTAAACCCAACATACGACAACCCTCGAAAAAGTGTAGGAAGATCATGTTACACAAACGATGATCCGTAACAATGCAACTTGGAAGTTTTTTAAAACTTCTAGCGATGATTCCTCGATAACTACTTAATTTAATTCAGTAAATTTTTTTTTATTTTCATTCCATATATAATATAATTAAAATAAAAAGAAAAGTTCATTAAATTTGGTTTAGTAGTTGTCGAAAAATTATCAGAAAGTTTTAAAAAAACTCTAAAAATCTTGAAAAAACAAATCGGGTAAATTTTTCTTTCTTTGAACTTTAAACGACGTTTTCTCGACAACCAAGTATCCAAATTTGATGAATTTCTTTATTCAATTCTGTGGTTTCATAGAATTAAAATAAAAGAATTTGAATAGCAGGTTGTGGAAAATATTCATTAAAAGCTAAAAAAAAGTTTGGCCGCAGCTTCTTTTTTGTAGGCGCCTAAACTTCAATTTTTTCTGGTTTAATTTTATGAGTATATAGAATTAAAATAAAAAAATTTGGTCAAATTTGACAAGGTAAGTATCGAGTAATCTTCGTTCAAAGTTTAGGCGCCTATAAAAAAAAACCGCAGTCAAGTTTTTTTTAGCCTTTAATGTAAATTTCTCGACAATCTGCTATTTAAATTCGATCAAATTTTTTTCATTTTAATTCCATGAACTCACAGAATTAAAATAAAAAATTCATCAAATTCGAATACTTGGTTGTTGAGAAATCTTCATTTAAAGTTTAAATAAAAATTTTGTTGCAACATAAATTTTTTTAAAAAACTTTGAACGATGATTTCTTGACAACCATCCAAATTTGATGAAACTTTTTTATTTTAATTCTAGGATTTCGTAGAATTAAAAAAAAAATTTATCGAATTTAAAAAATATAATAGTTTTATGTAGAGAGAATTGATTGCATTCATGTTTTTATATATTTTCAATTTATATAAAAAAAAATAGAAAATATTAAAAGTACAGGATGGTTGAAGAAGCACATGATGAAAGTTTCAATTACAGTAAAAATAAATTTCTAAATATACTGTACTAATGATATGACCCAGTTAGACAATAATCGAGTAACCAAACCGAACCGAAAAAATCGGGTGACCCGGTTAAGCAAAAGCTTAACCGGTTAACCTGGTTATTCGGTTGACCCGATATTATCGGTTGACCCGGCTAATCCGATATAATCGGTTGACCCGGCTGACCCAATATAATCGGTTGACCCAGCTGACCCGATATAATCGGTTGACCCAGCTGACCCGATATAATTAGTTGGAAACACAAATATCGCATAAAAAATGTAAAAGAAAATTTTTTAAATTTAATAAATTTTGTATGAAATTGTTT